CAAGGAAAATTGGTCATTTTCTCTCAATTCCTGTTCCTAGTTGTCTCCCTATTCCCTGCCCACCCCTCAGCTGCACAGAGGATTTTTATCCTTTTATCCTTCGCGCTGTCACCTTCACTGACCACGTAGAGTGAGAGAATTGCCCCCCTCCCTGTTCCCTGTCTTTGGAGTGAGGGGCACCCTAGCTGCAAAGGCTGAAGGAGCTGCTTCACAGTTTTCTAGGAGCCTGAAGGTTGGGGGTGGGGAGAGGGAGTCTGGGGTTGGTTAGGCCAGCCCCTCACCCCCACCCCCACCCAGTACCCAATGCACTAGAAGTGCTAGTGGCAGCGCTTCTGGACGCCAGGCCTCCCCCCTCCCTTCGAATCCTTCCCTCTTCCCTCCCCGAGGGTTGGTCACTGCCTGGGAGGGGTTGGGTGGCTGCCAGGCCAAACAGGCCCAGGAGGCAGCATTGCCTTGAATGGAGCTTGGCTCAGGGGTGGGAGAAGGGACATTCCCCTCCCCCACTTCCATGGGGGATGGGGAGAGGGAAAGGGTGCTCAACTCCTCTGCCCTCTATGACCCTCCTTCCATCCAGAGAATGTGAGCTCTCGCAGAGCCCCTGCTCTGACCCAGAGGAGTGACGTACAGGCACATTTATAAGCCTCGAGTCTTAGCAAATGTGTCTGCTTACCCACGCAGAATGGAAAATGCACCGAATTAGGTGTCAGGGCCTGGGCTCCTACTCAGTGTGTGACCCTGGGGGCAGTTCCTCCCCTGGTCTCAGAGCCCCAAATAGAGGAGAGGTTGACTAAGGAGATGGCTGAACCCCCACGACTTCAATCCTCTTGCCAGGACCTCCCTGGGACAAAGGGGCAGGAGGCCCGAACCTTCAACTGCCCCGCCCTCAAGGGGAGAGGGGGCTGTGCCCACTCACCTGGTGTCCCAGCATAGTCAAACCTGCCCTGCCCGCTGTCACCCAGGCCCCAGGGATTTGGTCCATTTGGGAAACTGAGGCCCAAAAGACATGACTCTGTGTGTTCCTGAGCCCAGAGTCCTGCCTCCAAGCAGTGAGTCTCCCGCCCGGGTCACAGTCCCTGAGCGTGCAGGGCTCAGAAATAGCTCAGGAAAACTCAGAGCACCGGCCTTCGAAGCACCCTGGTCCTGGTCCTGGTCCTGGGCGTGTGTGAGCTGGCGCTGGACCCAGACTAGCTGACCTGGGGCTCGGCCAGTTCAACCCTCAGGGAGGAACTCTGCGGTTCTGGGCAGAGGAACAGAGACGCTTAACTCAGTGGAGATGGAGAAATTGCTCTCGGTCAGTGACAAAACACACCCTTTGTTCTTATTTGTTTTCACCTCAGAGCCCTTGGGAGTCCCTGAGGAAGTGAGCCGGAGGGCCAGGGATCAGGGAGGAACCTCAAATAAATGGGTCTTGTGATGGCTACTCAGGGCAGGCCCCAGCACTAGGAAGGGAGGCAGCAGGAGGGTGTGAGGGCTGGAGAGGAGGAGCGGAGAGGAGGAGCGGGCAGGGAGGGCAGGGAGGGCTGTGACTCCGTGACTCTACCTCTCCTCCACCCCGCACAGTTGTCAGGGGCTGGGATTTGCCGCCAGCGGGAGGTGCAGAGTGGATTTCCAGGCTCGGCCCAGGCTGTGCGGAAGGAGACCCCAGACCAGAGGGTCCCCCGGGTGGGGGTTTTCCTGGGCAGAGGCTGCATCTCCCCCATTCTGTTTTGGAGGCTGATGCAGCTGGGCCAAGGTCCTAAGGGACCTCCTTAGGCCAACCCAGGACACTGGGACTCTCCAGGACAGGGTAGGCCCATCTGTCTGAGAGCAGGGTCTCCCCAGCCAAATGAGGGCCTTCCCACGGCAAGGTATGTCTTCCCCGCCAGATCATGGGCTCCTTGGGGAAGGCCTATCTCCCTATCATACGTGTTGCCCGGGGACCAGCCCCAGGCTCTGCCAGCAGCCCCAGGCTCTGATGTGGCCTCTCTGGGTGGCAGGCAACAAGTGGTACAAACAACACCTCTCCTACCGCCTGGTGAACTGGCCCCAGCACCTGCCCGAGCCTGCAGTCCGGGGGGCCGTGCGTGCCGCCTTCCAGCTGTGGAGCAACGTCTCGGCGCTGGAGTTCTGGGAGGCCCCAGCCACAGGCCCTGCTGACATCCGCCTCACCTTCTTCCAAGGGGACCACAATGACGGGCTGAGCAACGCCTTCGACGGCCCAGGTGCTGACAGCCTCTCTCCCACATGGCAGGAGGGGGACCCCGCTAGGAGAGGCCGCCTGTGGAGGGCAGTGGAGCACTCGCTCTCCCTGTGGCCTTGCCCAAGCTGCATCGTCCTCCAAAGAGCCCTCAGTCTCCTCATCTATCACATGGGAACAGGACCGGCCCGATTTTGTGCCATGTGGCTGTTGGGATGGTCAGATGAGGTTCTGCAGGGAAAGTGCCTTGTAAACTCTAAAGAGCATTATCCTTTCGGGAAGAACCTTCTGAAGTCCCGTCATCCATCCCCTGCCTCTAGACAAGCCCGTGCCTCGCCTGTCCTCCAGACCAGGGTCCTAAAAACATGCCGAGGCCACCACTGCCCTCCCCCAAGCCCCTGTCACAGTCACTGCCTCAGAGCAAGAGGCATGCTACCTGCCCCTGCTACAGAAGCTCTTCCTATGCCCACCGCCCAGACCGGCCTCCTGTTTGCCCCCAACCTGAAGGCTTCCAGCTGTGGTTTACACTGCTGTCCCCCCATTCTGCCCAACACTGGCCTGCAGAGCCTGCGTGCAGGCTATCTCTGCATTTTCCCA